TTTATGGATAAATTGCAACTGTGATTAACTGGCTTTTCATCACTAATAATACCTCTGTCCTTTGGCACTCCAATTGCCCATTCAACTCATGAATGTGTGGAACTCACATTCTCTCAACTCTCGGTGTTCATATAACTTGCCACAGTGCCAAAAAGCTCAACTTCTCTACCACAATATTGTATTCAATTACTTCTTAATTTCGTGAAAACGCCTCTTCGATTAGCATTCCTTGGATCAATATTAATTTTAACAGGAATTCTAAGACCATATTAGGTTTGTAGAGGACAAAAGTAATTCGGAACACTTTAGCTTCGTTAAATTATATTGATAATGCCATTATACCATTTTCTACGGACTATCAAATATCTTAAACCTGTTCCATGAATTCAGTTAATTTATAATGCGCAGTATCGCTTATTGACATTTCTCTTCATTCATATTTTTGCCTTTCTACAATTATGTATTATTTATTCATAATTAAAATTCTATGTTCAATTTTTTATCAATCACATTGATAGTCGAAAATTAATTCAGTTCATGGTTAGTATTGAAAGTGTCTCCTGAGAATTCTTTGAATCTTAAAATTAAAGCTCGACATTTTGTTCACTAAATCAAGTTCAATTGCATATTTTGTTCGTGCAAATATAGTGTGAACTTCTTAGATAAATTTGTTTTTGATTTTCTGTTCATTTTCATCAGTATAAGTCGAAAATTTCGTTATTTGGCCTCCGAATATTAATATTTTTCCTAATCTTGCACTATTGTGCAACTTGGAGAGGGACTCTCTGAACCTTTAAATGCGCTACTTTGTGCTCCCATTCTCCACGGTGAATACTCTGCTTTTTCGACAACAAAGCTGTAGCGACTTATATGTGTGTTATGCCCCATGCTCGAATTTCGCCCTCATACGAGGTCATTGATACAGTTTTATTTGGAAGTGGATCCCTTTTACTATCCCCATGCCCTTCCTTGTCTACAGGACTCATAAAAACGGCATTAGCATTCTCTCAACCACACTCCTGGTTTGCGTTTGCCTTCTCGTATACTTCCCTCTTCCTATGTCTCACTCATTTCCTCATCATGGCTTACCAAATACATGCTGGTCTACACAAATCTTTGTGTTCTATTCTTCGGACCAGTTGCTATTTGGCAGTTTTAGTCTCAGCTTCTACAATTTAATAATCCATCAAACTATTGACCATCCATTTTGTTATTACCACAAAGTATACAGTGACCTATAATACGTATTCGCTCATTTTTCACAATTCCACGGAATCTTTTGAGGGCCACGGACTTCGAAATCAATGTATTACATATTTCATCCGCTACAAGTCATACAAGAACTAGTATAAAAGACAAACACAACATCCATGAAAAAAACAGCAATAACAAAAATACTAACACAGTTAGGACAATATCACGACAGACTTGTCAGCTTTTGATCTTGAACAAGTCTCAAAAACCACGAGGCCAGTGCCCTGCGTAAAGACGCATGCTCGGCAACGGCAATCAGACGAGCAACACTGCAAGCAAACACGCCTTCCAGTGCCGAAAATGCGGAGATGGACGGCGACGGTGGCGGTGAATTTGTGGGCGCTGTTTCCAGGGCAACCGCGATTGCCATGAACCCTTCCGGAAGTACAGCAAGCGACTCGGCAAGTGATGCTATTCGAGCACACTTGTCTTCTGTTAGACAATCCCATGTAATCTCCATATCCATATTCGACAACGCTGTTGTTGTAGACACATCTACTGTGAATCGACGTGGACTCATTAGAAGAGTCTTAACCCCCGATTTCATTCTACGTCTCGGTTCGGACTCCGTCATCACGCCCTATTTAATTGTAAAAGACAATGATTACTTTGTACAACATTACTTACTCCAGTAGTATAGACTATCCCAGTAGTTGTTGAACCAGCTCTTTTTCTCGGTGAACCCTCAATTGACCGTGTCTCACTCTTCACATCGAGTAAATGCAAGTAAAGCTGAGTTAAGTGAGTTGATAAGCCTGCAAGAAGACGTGCATACTCTTCGAATTTGTGTCGACCTCCTCTTTGGTCCGGCATAAATTTCTTTAACCAAGGCAAGGGAGAAACGAATTCCCCCCTTGTGGTACTAATTGGAATTTGCATGGGGAGGCGTCGGAAGTTGTCCACTCGCAACTTGTGCACATTTTCATCAAAATCCCCAAAGGAGGTCTTGATTTCGTTCGAAAGTTGACTACAAAACTCGGTAGATAGACCGTTTTGAATAATCTGTTGAAGGGTAATCTGAAGAGCCATTATAGTCAAATGTGACTGCAAGTGAGCGGTGAAAAGAACAAAATTAGTATTTCAACGCTATTGGCCACAATGGAAAATTATAAAACCAACTCACGTATTGATATAGGTTTGCGGGGGAAGGTAGCTTTAGTAGCCTCTGAATGAGCTTTTTCACGCCATCACATTGATCGAATTCAAAGAAGGCAGTATAGCTATCAGCGAGGCAGTTCAAAAGCTGTAGACCGATTGTGAGAGGCAAACGGGTAAAGAATTCTATAAAACAAATTAATTTGCTTAACTATATTTGGTTTCAATTTACCACTAACTAAAATATAAATTGATGACACAGACCCAAAATATTAAGACTTATTATTGGAGATTTGATTTTCCCTGTGTCTCGATCAAAAACATTTAAATTAAGAGATGAATCGAAGATCAGCAATTTCTGAACAGACTTGGGAACAGAGTTTTCAATTTCACCGACCCCATTGTTGAGCAGAACTTCGCCAATTATGTGCATTAGCAAACTAATATTGACGAGACTTGAGATGAGTGATGATAAGGGTATGCTATAATAACAATGAAAATGGAAAAGTTAGAAAAATTCAGTAGAAGGAAAAAATGGGGCTGAATTTCATTATTTCGATTAATCCGATGTTTCTTTAAAACGCTAGTCACTTAGCAACTAATCACCTAGCCAATCGATGACCAAGAATAGAAATGAAAAATAATAAAATCCAAGAAGGGAAGGTTTTCAAGAGACTTACTTTTCCAAACTATTGTATTTAACCAACTGGTAACAAAATGCAATTTATGCAGGTCATCACTCTACATGTAATAAACATACCACTCGGATTACGAATACCACGCTACCCCACACTTGACAAAGGAGTAGACTTGAAGAAAGAGGATGCTGCGGTGGGATTTATAATCAAATTAACAATGCCTGGCTTTAGTTTGTGGTCACTGATTTTGTAGTATTGACAGTCCCCCTCCCCCAAACTTATCTACATATATTGATGATAACATTTGAATTCTAGTCAACTCGATCTTCTCCCGTTAAAATGGACAAACTGACGATCCTTAAATCATTAAAGTAGATTAGAGCACATACAAAAAACAACACATGTATTCAGTAGTATAAACTAACAAGTGATCGAGATGGCCAATTACATCAATTAATTAAACTAGTTTTCATTGTGGAATGGAACTAAAATTGGTGAATTATAGGCCTAGTTAACACAATAGAGATAGGAATAGAGAAGATACCGAGACTTAAGAGATACACTCCAATTACTTTGAGGAATAGGGTAAAACAATATTTATTTAAATTGCAGCTAACTTTACCAAATTCGAATTCGACACCTTAACTAATGGGAGTATTCTTGATGACCAGTTTACAATGGTCCATCTTGCCCCTTCAATTCATTATTTCTTAAAGAAGAAAGGATTCAAAATGAATTTTAATCTCATCAAGAGGTTTATCTGATTTTAACACGACAGAGCTGAGACGGATCATTTCTTTATCTTAGCTCTAATACTGGTTGAATGCAATATTAGTTGACTTTTGAACTAGACATGATAAGGAAAGCGAACATTTTCCAATGGTAACTTACGTGTCCAAAGGTGGTCTTTCCCTCTCATGAGAACAAAGTGGGAAAATTACAAATTCAAAATTATAGCAAAATTGCTCAATTTTTTCCGCTTCGTCCTCATTACTACTATCACGCGCCTTCTCGACATTTTCATCCAACTGGCCAGGCAATTGGAAGAGTCGTAGCGCGAGTTGGCGTAGTTTATTCGATGCACTAATTGGTCGAAGATTAGCCAATTGGAGACCAGCATCTTGTGGCAGTGAGCGTATTGCTCTATCCATATAAACAGTGGTGAGTGTATGGATTGGGAATAAGCAGGCTCGAAAAGCTTCTTCTAAATGTCCAATTACAATCTCCCATTGATGTGTTGTCAAGTATGGAGCTGTTGATATCAGCAAATGTCTGATATGGGAAAAATTAAAAAGATATATGCGGAATATTTAAGTTCATTTCGAGGGCAAATTAATCGACTCACCTAAGACACGAAGTGGCTAAACGAGAAATTCGTTCATTGCGCATGCTGATAGAGTCCACGAGACCATTCAAGAACTGATGTAGCATTAAATTAATTCCCACAATTTCGCCAGATAAGTTGATACCTGTAAAGAAATTGATAATTCAATTCATTCTCACTTTTTTGTTGATATCGGATAATTAGACTGCTTATCAATTGAGTGGTTTGACTGATCACAAAAGCGAGTTTTGATGAAACAACGCTATCTTTGTCGATATCATTGGCAAGCATTGATTCATCTGGCCTTTGCTCAAACAAGGTGAACGGAGAAGAATAGCTCTGAAATTCCGATGAGTCCAGTTTCGAGTCTTCGTTTGCCGAACTGGTTAAAGCATTACTGGAGATGGCAATCTAGGAAAGACAGGAGATGTTGATTACATTAGAGTTATCAGTTATTTATTACAATCAAATACATTTCCAATTCCTTATCGCCTTGGATAATTTGTCTTTGTCATGATATAGTGACTGCTTACACTCCAGTTCACATTGGTATCGGATATCTTGAAAAAGTTAATAAAAAACTAAAGAGTCACTTCATGGCACAATTGTGAATGTAAGGTCTTCTTTGTTTAAACTGGGAAGTAGAAGCTTCCAGAGAAAGCTGTTGAGCAGCCATACTATGGCCCAAACACCCCATTTTCATAACTCACTTTGTGAAACCCAACCGTACAAAAATTCACACAAAGAACAGGGAAATGCAACGCTATAAACTATATGAAATGGATCGAGGGAAAAACTGAGCTTTGGCACTATCGACGAAAGCACAATTTAACGAGGGTAATATACAAAAGATAATATATATGTTTTAAATTTTACACATTCCTTAACCTGTGCTGAGTTGTTGAAGGACGAGCCCGAAAATTCCTAATGCCAAAATTTGCTTATTCTCTAAATCAAAACCTCATAGTTTACCAGTCGCTTGGTGCCTTATCACCTCAGCCGTATGTAATTAATCTCATATTTTGAAAAGCATTGCATACTTTGACCAATGGCTCAGTAAATGAGTTGAGTTTCAAAATTAGAACTTTTTCTCGGGCTCAGTTAACATCATCACAATCTGATTTTTGTAAAAATTATCAATAAGTAAAAATTTGGTTTCCATTAAAGTTTAGTCAACTTTACTTGGAGCCGAGGCATCAACACGTGATTGATGACGAAGATAGCAAATGAGGGACCTATCGCGATACGCCTAGATTTGAGCTCCTCCCTTTCGATTCCATCAGTAATTTTAGAAATAGGGACTTCCTTTTCCCCACAAATCTTCTCTGTACATTCATTCAAAAGACTGGTGAATTCATCAAATACAATTCGATGAACCATAGGATTGCAGTTCCATATCGCCATGACAATGCCTTCGAGAGTTAAGAACCACAGATGAAGGACACAAGAGGGCTGATCAATATCATCAAGACTTCGAAGAGTACATAAGTCAGGATCCACTGGAACCTTTGTATGGAGGGTGGGTTCAAAGAATCGGGTTGATGTGAACCAAGGTGTGAGATTCTTGACCCTTTCATGAAGAATCAGCGATGAGAAGCTCCGAACAGAAGGTTGAAGGTTCAGCTGAGGTGGTCCACCGGCGATTATATAAGCCTGACGCTTAGCTGATCTTAGAACAAAATCAGCAGTAGAAGATGACGTCTGGGATGATAAGACATTCGAGGCAGAACCCCAAAGATATCCAAGAATTTCACAGCATCGTCTCAATAACGGAAGGGTTGCTTTACATAAAGCAGATGAGACTTCATCTGCGCTGTCTATTCTCTTCACAGTTTGTGTTTGTTCATCTCCAGAGCCTAAGAAAGGAAAAAGAGGCGACCTTGAGTAGAGCCAGCAAGTGTCAAAAGAATAATCAGAATGTCTTTATACCAACCAATGGCATTTTCGACTGTATTAGGGCGCTGTTCTCTAAGAGAAGGGGTATCCACGTAAATATAATCCAATTCTCCAGCAGAAAGGTATCGCAAAAGGCACCGAACGCAATCCACAGCGATGTTACAGAATACCAATACGTCATCAGTGAAGAGGAAAATCTAAACTTGCAAAGGGGAGAAATTAAAAATTAAGTGATAGTATACCAATTAAAATCACATTGCATCGAATTTTAGGCTTAAATAAACAAGTCAGCAATAAAGTGAAGTTCTGTGGACGAAGTGGTACAAAAGTCAATTAGAAGATTGGGTCTCTGCTAGGTGCCAGTTTTCCTCAGTTAACAGGCAAATTGGAATAGGTGCGTTAAGTGTGGGATTTTGGAGCTACAAAAGAACGCTGACATTCACTTTGGCCAAATAGAATACTCTCACAATCCAAGGCATGATGGTCGTACAGACGAAGAGACACCACTTCCAACCCCAATTATAAGGAATTATTTGCTCCAAGAATGGAATACTCAAACTTCCCTTACCTATCGACTCAGAATCAACTAAAGCGAAAGTCGTGCGTTCCCCCCTAAATCAAATAATTTAACCAATCAGCGTGTGTTTGCAAACTGAGGTTTTGAGAAAGTATGTTCATGAAATGATTTAAAGGAGTTAGATTGATATTCCACATCTGTTCCTTCTGCTCATGCATTATTTAATCAATTCAGTTATTTCAAACAGAGGAAACACCCTGGCATTTTGTGCTAATATATAAGGGTATTGAACAACCTTAAATCTATGTACATTTGCTATTTATTGATTTTAGCTAAGATGATAATCGAACCAGAGAAATACTACTATTTTTATAGTAACTGGGGTCATAAAATCTGGTCAAATGATAAACCCATTTCGAGACTTCTATTTTCTACCAAGTACCACACAATAGGGTGTGGTGTGGTCTCAAATATAGACGCGCGTTTTCTGGGTCTCTTTAAGTGATTTCAATAACGTGATAAATATTATAATGGAACAATGCAGCTCACTTCAAAGACTTCCAAAACCGTAGAGATATGGTTTTGTTTAGGAATCTTCGGGGCTTGTGTTGAAGTGTCAGCATCAGATTCTACCTTAGAGCCATTTTGATCAGCAGAGTGAAAAGGTGTGGCACATTGTACTGGCTTATCGACATCGGCGAGAAAAGGAACTTTGATGGAACGTAGGGCAGCAAATATTGGACGCCATCCGGAATGTAGGGCGCTGTTGCAACTTTGCACGACTTCAGCAATGCAATTGACAATTCTGTCTTGGAGTTCACGGTCGCACATTTCTAGTGGGGTTACACGAATAAAATGAAACCTTAGATCTTACTATGAAATTAACATTCAACAGGTTGCTGACTGCAATGTTTATGCTTTATTTCTGGTTTGGTAATTCTCGAAAATGGCCTCTAATTAGTCTGTAGTTGACTGCTACACTAATGAGCATTGACTAATGCTTGGAAAGACTTTCAGGATTGGCTAAGCTACGCTAAAGCAATGTAGGAAACAGATATATGACATGAATAGGTCTATTTGTGATTTTTTGTATAGACATAGAGCCTTTTCATTAAAATACAATGAAGAATTTGTTAAACCATGTAGGGATCATTGATTGGCAGCTGGCTGAGAGTAGCACGGTGGCACTTTCGAGTCTGTCTGGGTGTGCATGAGATTTATTTGTTCAGCCACGACAGCGGAATGCATTTAACAAGGCCTCAATCGAAAGCGCTACCATGATAAAGTTTAGAGTTAATACAGAGGACTTCAATCAATCCTGGTTTTCTTATTTGGAAAAGAATGATATCTCCAGTTAACTTTTGCTAACTCATTCGTCTAGTTAGGACATTTTTAAGCCCATCTTGCCCAAGATTGTAAAGAAAGTTATTGATGGCATTGTTGGTATTTGTTATTAAAAATTTTATCATAACTTTTCTCTAATCTTCGCATCGATTCCCGAGTTACCATTACAAGTGGCAACTGAGTATGCACGCCCCAGAACCTTTATGTATTCCGTAATTAAGTTGATTCACAAGCATTTTTCAATTTCAACACTTGATGAAGAAACGTAATCATGGCAACCTGAAGTCCATGATTTTCATACAACCTTTGAGTGACACTTTCGAAGAGGGAGACTGGGGTGTGCGATAGACTTACCTCCACGTGGTACACCCTGGGCAACGTATATTCATACGGCAAAAAATCTATAAACCGCAAGTTGACTTCAGACTTCTAACTACCATGACCTGATTGTATGTCACATTCGACAGC